GAACAGTTTGAATTCAAGGTTTTCAGTGAGTGCACACTCTAACATTAAGGCTTGCTTGTTAGTTGTTTAGCCGTGCTAGTAGCATTGTGTTAGGTTTTGAAATATATAGTCGAATATTTACAAGCACATTCTCCAGCTTTGCCCAAGAAAAGGTATTTCCATCTGAAGGCCAAACTGCACAAGTCCCAGAAAGAGAGGGAGCAAAGCTGAGAAGTGAAGCCCTTCCCACCAACTGGCTACAGCACATATAACAGAAGGGTTTTTGTTTACAATAAATATGCTCAAAGAACCAAACAACAACTCTTTGGTTATTTTCCCACGCAGCTGGGGCACAACACAGTACAAAATGCAAACTGGAGATTCTGGGCACAGACGTATAAACAAACATGGCTTGTTGCCCACTCTGCAAATTGCACAGCGCTGGGACTGTGGTCTCAATGCAGGTTTGCCTGTGTTCAAACCGTGCTTTCTCACGGTGCTTGAAGAAATGTTCTGGACTCCCCGTCCTCACTCCCTGGACTCCAAAGCTTTCTAACTGCAAGGATCTAGAAACTGGAATCCAACTAGAAACAACTGAATGAATAGAATTAGGGAGAAGCACATTGTCAAGTCTATGTGAAGAACATTCTAAAAGTCAGTCATGTTTATCCACTGAATGGGCAGCTTTAAGAGAGTCCATCTGTGGAAAAGTATAAGTAGAAACTACAGAGCCCACTGCTGGAACCCTGGCATGGACCTTGAGTCTACACTCAGGGACCACTTAGGTTCCTTCAAGACCTAAACCTCTGGGATAAACTGATGCTCACAAAGAGGACCTCAGACACTCCAGCAAACCAAAGTTCTACTGCAGTCTCAAAGAAAGGTCCTATATCTTGATGGGGACACACACACACACACACACACACACACACACACATACACACACAACAAAATGTAGCATTGTCATCCAATTAATAGTATTTACAAATGTCAACTTTCTAGTTTCAATAATGCATACAGCAATGATTCTCAATCCCCTGAAGAGATCTGGCAATGTTAGTAACATTCTTGGTTGTGACATCTGAACAGAGGATGCTACTGGCATCTAGCAGGTCAAGACTAGAGGTACTGCTCAGCAACCTACAATGGGACACCAATCCCTTTCCACACATACACACAATTGGTCAAATACTGCCAAGGTTGAAAAACCTCATCTTATAATTCTTGAAGATTTATCCTTGGCAGAAGCTGGGGGAAGCGTACATGGGAGCACCTGTACTCATTTTGCAATTTCCTGTGAGTCTGTAATTAATTTAAATTAAAAACTTAAATTGTTTTTAAAGATTCATTCCTTGCACTATATCAGGGCTCTACTCTGAAATTTGTCAACTCCTCATGGAAAATGTAGTTCAGTGGAAGTAGCCTTTGCCCAAAATGGTTGGTGCCAGAAATGTCTCAGATTTCAAAAGTTTTCAAGTTTTGGAATATTTACATATACATAATGAGATATCTTGGAGAAAAAACTCAAGTCTAAACATGAAATTCATTTATAGTTCATATACATCTTATGCACATAGCCTGAAGACAATGTTATACAATATTATTAATACTTCTATACATGAAACAAAACTTCATGGTAGGGAAATTCCCACTGACAATGTCATATTGACACTCGAAACATTTCAGAGTTTGGAGCAATTCAGGTTTCACATTTTCAGATTAGGGAAGCTCAACTCATGTTCTCAGGACTCAGTTTTCTAAGTGACCTCCACAGATGTCTGCACATGACATCCATGGGGCATATTTGTAGTGGTCGAGAGTTAAAGCTAAAACTCACACCAAGACCAAATCCTCAAAGTCTTTGGCTCCTTGCACCAACAAATTCCCTTCTAGAGTGGGCTACATACAGCCTTCCAGCTTACCTTCCCTTGAGTCCAATCTTTATGTTTACAAGGCTATCTGGAAACCATTTTATTATCCGGAAAAAGAAGTACATGCTAGACTTGTAAATCAGCTACATGTGCATCTATACTCTTTTTCACTCTCAGGCTAACCCCTCCCTCCCACCTCAGTGCCTGATACCTAGCATGCAACATCCACCCAGGGAAGCAAGTTCCAGAAGTTACATCTAACACCCCCAACTGCGGCACTATGTTCCATCCTCTGTGGGCACCCTCCTAAGATGAAATGACAACCTGCTTACACAACAGTCCAGTGTGGACATGAATGCTTCTGTCATCACACCATGAGCAGTATAAATATCAACCCAACACTAAAAGTGGGATACAAGTTCTCCTATTGTGGTTTAACTGCACAAAACTATAATGACTTCTTAATTAAGTTCAGTGTCTCTCACTAATTGGGGTCCAGGATGGAATGTTCTATTGACCAAACACACACACACACACACACACACACACACACACACACACATAGCACATGATGCACGGAACTAGTTAAAAGGTGGATACATGCGACACTTGGCTCATCCTAGTTGAGGGGAGCTCTAAAAAGCCTCACGCAATTTATTAGACAACTGAAACAATAGCAAGGTTGCAGTCAGATCCTAGACAGGGGAACCGCTGGAATTTCCCAACACCTGTTTTAGGTTTGAGGATGGGATCCAGGTGGATCTCAGGAGCTCATTAGCTGTAAGAGCAGAAGCTATTTACCAGGAGGAATAAACAGTTTCCTATCCCAAGAAAATCTCCATATATAAGATGGCTTCCAAAAGCAAATGACTTTCCTTTTGCAAATTAGGTTGAACCCTGTTTTCTCCTTCAAGAATCTCAATTCCAAGCTGGGTATGGTGGAGCATACCCAGCACTTGGGAGGCTGAAGCAGGAGGATCGCTATCAGCTCAAGGCCAGCATGGGCTACATAAGTGAGTTCAAGGCCAGCCTGCACTACAGAGGAAGATCCTGTCTCATAAAAACAGAACACAATAAACACAAAAAGACCTCATTCCAAGACTGGCAAGTGCCATTACCCAAAGGCTGGAAAGCCACCTCCCCACTGTAATATCTGAATCCACAGATACATCAGACACTATTTTCTTTGGGTAAAGAAAGCAGTCTCGGGAATGATGGCTAGTCACCAGTAAGAGTCCTTAAATAATAAAACTGGCTCACTAGCTGGGCCTTAAATACCTCTTCTCCTGGGAAACATTGCCCAAGGCCTATTTATTTCTTTGACACTCTGCACTTCTGTACAAGCTTCAGCACACCCGCCTTTATTTCCTGAAAGTCCCCCAAGCTCTGTGAGGTCCATGAGGGCAGACACTGGGCTGTCTTGTGCTCTCAATCCCTACAGCCACCCCCAGCACTTGGTACTGAGCACGTTCTTGGTAACCATCCGTGGAATGAATGAAGGGCTCTCAGGGGCATAAGCTCAGCTGCAAGCTTGGGATACACTGGAAGGTGCTCCTGGAAAGCTTTCCTATCAATGGACAAAGTCTAGTGCAGTGGTAAACGCTACTCTCCTTATCTGCAAGTGGAGATGCTGGGGACTCAGGAAGCACAGCCAGGACCCCCAGATCCCTGAGCTGGCGAATCCTAGACCTGACTGGTAAGTATTCTGGGGCTTCTTTTACTTTCTCCCTACCATGGTCCCAGTGACATCCAGCCTGTACCCCCCCTCCACAATACTAAACACGCAGCAGATTTTTTAAAATACCATATGGATTTGATTCAAACTACCAAACCAGAGCAAGCGCAGGAGAAAGTCTTTCAGTCTTGCAAGAGAGAAGTTATACTAAGCAAGTTACTTCACCAGTCTTAGCTCCAGATTTCTCACCAGTAAAATAGCAAGAACACCCACTCTCCAGAGCCATGGAAAGAATTCTGTAAATGACACAGGTGCACCCAGCCCTACCAAGAGAGTCACGGCATTCCACAAATGCAAATAAATGTCTTTCCCTGCTCCAGTTCTTGTTAATCCAGCCACCTTCATTCTCCTAACCCCTCTCCACAAAAAAGAAAAAAACACTGGTTCTGTTCGAAACACAGCAAGTCCTCATACTTGTATATAGGGGTCTTAGAGGGAGCCATCCTTTCAAGAGTGTCCCCAACTTCCCTGGCACCTCACTGCTGGCTTCCAAGGACAATTTAACCAAAGAAAGGCCACTTCTTCTGTCTCTGGAGTACTGTAACATAGTCCATATGGCCTTCCACTGAAGGTCTTGGAGGCAGGAGAATCTGGCCATAATCCTGCTCAGTCCCCACCGCTGAAATAGTAAGACTACAGCCCCTGAAAATAAATAAGGACCATTTGGAACAATTAAGACACAGCCCCACTTCAGAAGCTATGCAGAAAGTTAAGCAGAAGTCATTTCCCCAAAGACAAGGCTGGCAGAAGCTGAGGATGGATTTGTGAAGTAGGAGAGGGATGGATAGAACAGGGAGCATTCAGGCTGTCAGTCACCGCAGAGCTCTCCAGGTCCCGAGGCAGCAGCCCTGGACAGAGTCTCAGCAGCAGCAGCCACCACGGATGTACCCGAACACAGGGAATCCAGCTGTGGCTGTGCCATTCTGCTGCAGAGGATTCAAGAGACCCACTGACAGCAGAAGGGAGGGACCTGAGAAGTGACACTGCAGGGTAAAGGCCCTCCAAGGCTACTGGCCAAAACAGACTAGCCAGTGACATGGCCAAAGGGGAAATTCGTTATCAAGAAAACGACTGCCTCAACAGACTGAAGAGGCGGGCAGAGCAGGCAGAATGCCAACAGGGAGGCACTTTACCCAGGAAATGTCAGGAAATGTCAGAGAGGCCCAGCTCCCTGAGCAGCTTCCCAAAGGCAGAGCTGTCTTCCGAAGAGACAGAGAGAGAACTCGGGTAGCAAAGTTCCGGGGAGCGCGGAGGCCCCGCGGGAAGCGCAGTTTAAGTCTGGGCGGGGGTGCGGGCACCGGGGAAGTTGGCGGTTCCTCTTCGGCCAACTCAGTCCTGACAGCCGGGGAAGCCGGCTGCCCCTCCAGGCGCGCGTGCACGGGCGCCCCCTCCGGCCACCCAGCGCAGAAAGTTACCTGATGGAGGCGCCTCTGCAGCTAACTTTTCTCTCTTGAGCGCTTTCTTGGGTTTATTCGCCCGCTTGGGCGGCCCGGGGTCCCGCGGGCGCGGCTCTCGCTCCTTCTCCTCGGTCCCCTCGGGCAGCGGTGGCAAGAAGGGCTCGAGCTCTGGTCCAGGGCGCTCATCGTAGGGCTCCCGGCTCCAGACCTCTTGCACATAGTGGTCGGGGTCCTCGAGGGCTGCGCCTTGGGCTCGGATCCCAGCCAGGGACACGGCCAGGAGCGCCAGGGCCAGGGCGGGCGAGGCGTCCCCGCTGAGAGCCATGCCCGTTCCACCCCGTGCCCGGGGCAGAGCCCAGGTCACAGGGAGCGGCGGGCTGGCTGAGCGCGCAGCCGAGGCGGGACAGGGGCGCGGGCACTGCAGCGGGCGCAGGAGCTGCGG